CTGAGACACCCAAACCTACTGGATATAAATAAGATAATTAGATACAAGGAATTAGTAAACGAACAGAAAAATCTGAAAACAAAACAAGAATTGGAACAAGATATTGGCAGAGAGATTGACTGGTGGACATTTACACAAATTCAATCTAAATATACAGAGGACAAAAAATTATATGAAATACAAAAAGAGCCACAAGAATTGGATAACATTATACATGGAACAGAAATAAAATTAATTAGCAATTTATATAAATACCTATTGAGATATAAAATGGAAGATGAGGTTGTCAAAGACATAATGATTAGATGGGCAATTTTTTTTGGATATAATATAGAATTGGAGAAATGGGAAAAAATATGGGAAATAAACATAAAATTGACTACGTCAGCAGCATTCAAGGAAAACCAGTTGAAGATGTTTTATAGATGGCACCTTCCACCAGCAAAGCTTGCCAAGATGTTCCAGAACAATTTGCCAACATGTTGGAAATGTAAAAAAGTACATGGAACATATTATCATTTATGGTGGACATGCCCAGTTGCGAAAAAATACTGGACTAAAATAAGAAGATGGATCAAAGAAATAATAGACCACCCCGTAGTCTGGAAACCAGACATCTTTTTGCTGGGTATTTTAAACAGAAAATATACATAAAGAAATACGGTACTTAATTCTTCATATAACAACCACAGCAAGAATAGCATATGCACAGTTCTGGAAAAATGAGAATATACCATCAGAGGAAGAAGCGATAAGAAAAATCCTGAAATGTGCTGAGATGGACAAATTAACAAAAGAGATAAAAGAAAAGGAAGACACAGAGTACTATCTAATATGGAACAAGTGGTATGACTGGTTGGAGACTAGAAATAATAGAGGAGAATAAATGTGGAAAGATTAAAAGTGGAAAATGTATGTATAATAATAATAATATGTATTATTCTTAGTATGAAGTATAGTATGAAGGAAGAAAAATGCAAATAAGAAACAACGGGACAACAAGGACAAATATATCTAAAGAAGAAGAAGGGGGGAAATGTAAATAATAGAAGATTACCGTTACAAAATTGCTGTTATAAAAAGGAGTATATACTGTGTGTGTATGTGTGTTATGTTTTGTTTTGTAGGTTTAAAAATGAAAAATTAAAAAAAATCTAAAAAAAGAGTTCTAGAAAATATTGGATTGTAACAAGCCAGTAAGAAAGGATTTCTTTAAAATAACTGCTTGTTGTGCAAAATATGTATGTACTTTGATGCATTAATTATGTATATAAAAATTTAATTTATGTACATGTATATATAAAATCTGCAATAGAGGAAAATAGATGATAGGAAATGCCAAACAACGCAGTCCGCCATTTTTTTCCCCTTTTCCTTAGCTGTGCTACTCCCTTTTATTCTATCGGCTTATGAAAGCCAATAGAATAGACTCTCTTGAATAGAGTCTAATTCTATTGGCTTTCAAAAGCCAATAGGAATTGTCCAGGCTGTCTCTGCCCTGCTGAGCCCGCCAAAAGTCTGCAGCGAAGGCGAGCTGTCTGGAAGTTTCCACCCCTCTCTGCTGAGCAACTACTAAAAATGTAAGTAAAAGAGGGCCAGGGATGGGAAGTGGGAGGCCGGCGAGCGCAGGGAGGGTTGCTGGTGCGCGTGGGGTCCAGAGGATGTCTTACCTCCCTTGGGCTGGGCCAGCTGGTGGTCCAGCTGATGGTCGGCCTGCGCCGTCTCTGCCGCTTGCCAGCTACACCTCGGCCGGCACAGGGGGCGGCACCATGCATGCGCGGCGCTCCCAGGCAGGGAAAGTCCTCAGCTTACGACCGGTTGGATAGTCCTTGACTTACGACCGGTTGGGAGTCGCGGCATTGAAAAGGTTGAGAACCACTGCTGTAGAGGAAATATTCAATCATAGGATCTGATAGCCTACAGTCTGGACTGAATACTTTGCAAGCTATTATCAAAATGCACCAACAAGAACAGAATTTTCTTAATAGATCTTAGAGTCAAGCATTCGTGAGCATTGAATAGATTTAGCTTAAGGGTGCAATGTAAATGTGCTCTAAACCAGTTCCAAAACCAAAAGAAGGTTCTAACAAAAATAAACAGCAAATATGTACTATAAAATAAGTTGTACCATGCAGCCCCATGTTCCGAAATATATTGAACTAACAAGATTATGGTCACTTTTAAAACTTCATAACCAACAGTGTAGATGGTCTTGAGAAATAATGCACATGTGATGGGTACATTGTGGTGATGGGATGACCTTGTGAAATTATTACCATGCTCCATCCTAGTCCAGGGGTTCCCTCTAATCCAATTTTGATTTTTTTTCTTATGGAAATGCAACTCTGTTGGAAATATAATTTTTTAAAAAATCTGATATCCCATTGTGTTTCCATGCCTATTGCCTTGGATATCTACGGATGGCAATTAAAATGTGGGGTTCAATAAAAGCAAAATAAAACTTGGTTTTCCTTATCTTAAAATATAACTTTCCCTTAAAAACAAGTGTACTTAAGGACTGAACCAGTTATCTAATCTCTGATCTTTTGCCAAAATGGAACGTATTTCATTATATTGTGGTATTAGCACTCTCTGGTGGTCAAAGTGAATCACAGCCGATAGTTAATGATGTTTTCTTGACTGGAGCAAATTCAAGCAAATTGCAGTAATACAACAATTTTTTTAAAAAAAATTAAAAATTATTGTCAGTTCTACCATCTTTGACTTGGCACCTTGCTGGCATCCTTCCATGACAAGCTAGTGGGAGGGGGACACAGGACAACTGGGCAATAAATATCTATAGGGATGTGGTGGGAAAATCAGAAGCAAGCAAGTACTAATATTACTTGGGAGAGTAAGCAGATAAATTTTTCAAAGCAGAGTCTTATCTAAAAATTATTCTGGTTTGCTGCAACTCTTAGTTGATATGATAAGATTTCCGGGAAGATATAAAATATGTGAGATGGGAAAAGCACTTTTCCATATTGTTTTAAAAATTAAAGTGCTACTTGTCATGCTTTGGATACCTCTTTAATATATCCTTCAAGCCTAATGTAAGGTCTGCCATCTTTCAGTTTGCATCTTGCTGGCATCCTGCCATCAAAGACCAGGGGGGAGGGGGCAAGGGGAACAAAGGGGCATTAAACATGTTTGGGGATGTGATGGGAAACAGGGAGAGGGGAATGACAGTTTGACGAAGAACAGGGAATCACAGATCCAGTTTGTGCCTGTACGCAAGGCCATACACCCTGAGAAAAGAATGTGGATTACCCCAAACATCTCAGTGTTCCCAAAACACCTAGGCGGCTCTTCATTGGCTGAAGACAAATTGGTCATGGGGGGAGGGCTGGGATGAAGGGAGAAATTTGTAACCTTTCATGTGGGAAACTTAGTTCTAGTTTGACTTTATTGCAACTAACAACCTTTAGTAAAAAAAAACCTAACAGGACACTCAAATGGAGTTGAGGGTCTTTGTTTCCTAAGGGACCTGACTGGGCCAGGTCTGACAGCTATTAAAATGGAGGTGATAAAAGGTAAATAGAGACAGTAATTAACAGTCTTTATTTTAGTGCTGCTGTTTATTTTGACATTAACTACAACTATTACTTACTAGTTTGCATTACTTTTCAGTCAGCAAATCCAAATAATTCTGCTGCTTGAAAGATAATGTTGGCTGGAAAATAATGTAATATCTATATGGTTTTGTGTATATTATTTAATTTAATTTAATATCCCTCTCTTATTGTTTTTATAAATTACTCAAGGGGACAAACATACCTAATAGTCCTCTTTCTATATTCCTCGCAACAACAACCCTGTGAAGTGGGTTGGGCTTGTCCAATGTCATTCAGCTGGCTTTGGAACTCAGTGTCTCCAGTTTCTAGGACAGTACTTTAACCACTGTACCAAGCTGTATATATCCATCCCTGCAGTATTTGATCCTTACATGTTAACAGCTATCTCATCCAGCATCTCTCACATGAATCTGTCATGCATGTGGTACATCAGCAGGAAAAACAGCCATCATGGTATCCTTGTGATATATGATATATTAATAATATTAGCAAATATTATTATTAGCAGCAAGTAATGAATATAATATATATGATATATTAACAATATTAATATATCATATATATTATATTCATTACTTGCTATTTTTCTTTTGTTATGCCTATATTTGGAGGAACTATTACTTATTGTTGTTAGACAACAAATTCTGTGTATACAAGAATATTAATCTAAATGTTGATCCTCTGAATCAGCAAACACATCTTTAGCATATTCCCAATGTTATTACATATTTTTATCTTATTATATGGCTTGAGAGGCCATGATATAAATTTTAACAAAGAAAATGATGCCTTGTACTGCTTTCTTATGTATCTTCTTCCTTATCTTAAATGTCATTGAGAAAGATTAATTAGATTTCAGGTTGATGTAAAATCAGTCACTTCAGGTTCCAGTTGGCTAAATTAAGTCTCCTTCAAATTTCCTTTAACTCATGAATCATGAATGAATTCATGGTGTCGGTATGGAAGTGTTTCACCATTAGTTTGTTCCTGAATCTTGTTTACTTTCCAGTCTATTTCATAGCCCTGTAGTTCTACTTTTGCCTATTATTCTAAATCTATAATGTAAAAATTACAGGAGGAGGGAATTATTTTGTTTTGCAATGAGCAGAATATCTGTATCATGGCTGGTTCCTGGAACTTCTTAGTCTTCTATCAGTTACAATACCCAAAAATGGAAACTAAAGATTAATAACATATTTTTAAGCTCAAAGTCACTCATTTAAATTAAGGAACAAGACTGGTGATCTAAAAGGAGTCAACTATTTTTCTTTCCTCTAAAATCTGTTCACTTCTAAAAATATTGTGGTCATATTTTGTGAATGAAAGCTCTGTATCTTCGATTGGGAAAACAGTGCTTAGTTTGAATATTTGCATTAGATATTGCATTTACAATATACCAGAAACAACACAATGTCCATTGTTGTATATTCCTGCTCTTTTATGTGCATGGATATATTGTACAGTTGAAATCTTTATACTCATTTGATAAATTTCTAAATTTGATTTATTTTTTATTAAACTTCATCTGGAAAAACTTAAATTTAAAAGTAGCTGCTTCTTTCTTCTTTTTTCTCTCATGTTTTCAGAGTTTTGTACCATGAATTAATGCAGTAATTGATTGGGAGGGGGAGTAGCTAAAGAATGGCTGAAGAACAGGAACGGTGGAATGGTGCCAAGACTTGAATCACCCTAGCTCTTCAGTCTGGTACTGTTAAGCATCAAGTGCCAAGAAAGCAATCTGAATGAAATAAGTAAAAGTAATAACATTCAATGAGCAAATCTGCCCTGCAGATAATAATTTTAAATCTATGAGATTATATTTGGATCACTTTCAGACATGCCATACATCTAATTTCATGTTGAAAATATTATCTCAGGTAAAAATTGAGAATATTCTTAATAGCTTAATGTAGTGTGTTGCTTTAGAGCAAAAAAGTACCTCCATTTGTGCTTACTTGTTTTACAGATTTACCTGTCACATTTCAAAATGTGTGACATTTCTGCTACCACCATTCAATCTCCACATAGGCTGAAAGCATAATAAACTCATGACCAGTCTATAAAAAATATTGCCTACTTGTAAGGTGACCAACCATCCTCCTTTAGGGAGGACAGTCCTCCTTTTGTAAGATCTGTCCTCCCTCGAAAAGTGTCCTCCTAAATGTCCTCCTTTTTGATATTTGAAGACTAATCTGCAGGGCTTTTTTTTTTCATAGAACTCTCAGAACGGCGTTCCGACACCTTTTTTGATGTTTTTTTTTCAACTTTTGCATGAGCTGTGCTACTCCCCCCTATTGGCTTTTGAAAGCCAATAGGAATTGCTGCTCAGTGGCCAAAACACCTGGTCAGCAAACTTTGTAGTTTGTTGTCTGCAGAGAAGGTGAATTGGTAGGAACTTTGCACCCCTCCCTGCTACCCAACTACACCATCTCCTAGTTAGTCCCGAAGATACCTGGAGGAGACTAACTTCCATTTAGGGATGTAAAAATAAAAAAAGAGGAAATGCCATTTCAACGATAAATTGAATAAGGAATTTCCATTCATCACATCAAAGAAGGATAACATTGTTTTCTGCAATATTTGCAGCGGAGAATTTTGTATTGCAGCTGGGGGCAGAGCAGCTATTACAAAACACTTGACCACCAAGAAACATAAGCAATCATCAGATGCATCTGCTTCCAGTTGTAAAGTAACAAGTTTTTTTAAAACTTTGAAATATTCTGAAGATGAAAAACAGTTAGTTGAAATGGATGGAACATTTGCATTCCATACCATACCATAATTCACAATCAAAGTTTTCGTAGTATGGATTGTACAACTAAATTATTGAAAAAGTTTCGCGATGCTAAATTTTCACGCGCCAAGACAAAATGCAAGGCTATTATTAAATCTGTATTTAAAAATTACTGTGACAAAATACTTACAGAAGACTTGGAAATTGCAGCATTTGTAACAGTTTTATCTGATGCATCCAATCATAATGAAACTAAATTGTATCCAATATAGTAAGATATTTTAATGTTACCAAGGACATTCAAGTAAAAATTTTAAATTTAGAATCCATTGAGGGCAAAACTGCTGAAATTTTGTCAAACCATCTATACAGAGTAATAAATGAAAGCAATTTGAAATCCAAAATTGTTGCACTAATAGCTGATAATACAAACACAAATTTTGGTGGGTGAAGACGCAAAGGGGTAAATAATATGTATGTAAAATTACAAGATTTACTCCAAAAGAAAATACTAGGAATAGGTTGTAATGCATATATTTTGTCAAATGCAATCAACACGGCATCATGTGCCATGTCAATTGATATAGAAGTAATAATAACTATAATTTATTTGTATTTTAGTTGTTTTACCGTTCGTGTGGCTACTTTAAAACAATTTTGTGAAGAAGCGAATGTTCAATACAAAAAACTTTCAGGATATTCAAAAGTTAGATGGTAATACTTGCTATAGAGCATGTTCTACAATTATTTGAGCCTCTCCGTTCATATTTTTTAAGTTTAGACAAATGTCCTAAAATCCTGGAATCGTTTTTCAATAATGAAATATCTGAGATATTAATGTATTTTGTACATAATCAAGCATCTATTTTTCACAAAATGATTCAAAAGATTGAAGGTGAAGACGTTTCAATTACAGAAGTTAGTCTTATTTTGAATGACTTTATCCTTCAATATAAAACTCAATTTGAAGAAAAATTTCTTCCTTTAGTTATGAAAAGAAAATTGTCAGACTTAGAAGATTCAAATCCGGGCATAATGGAAAAGTTTATCAAAGAAGTGCAGAATTTTTATCAAATGTGTTTTCAATATACCGAAGAATGGTCTGAAACAAACATCACAGGAAATAACAGTTTTCAATGATGTTTTTGGACTTCATCGCAAGTATATTGGACATATATTGAATCTTGTGTTGAGTTTTTATTTAAAGAAATGCCAGACATTAAAATAGATGACAATTGTCTCTTTGAAGAAATTAGAAGACTGAATGTATTTTTAAATTCTGAAAAATTAATACAATGGGAAAATAAACACGTTGAAATTGATAAAAAGATGGGTGGAAATATTCAGCCATTTCAAAAATGAACATATTCCATGCGAAAATTTATTTAACTTGTTCAATTTACGTTGTGCTGCCCTGGAACTAATGCAGCAATTGAAAGCATTTTTTCAATTGCTAATGATTTTTGGAAAAGTGAGAAATCGAGATTGAATGTTGATACTCTAGCTGCAGCACTTGCCTTAAAATTCAATATGAAGGATATTTCTTGTTCAGATATTTCTAATATATTGTTAAAAAATGATATATTGAAAAAAATATTCATTCAATGGAAAAGTACTCATTTAAATAATAATTAATAGGCATGTAAACATAATTTACAATATAAAATGTTATTGTTACAAATGTTTTTATTATGCATTTATCATATTATAATGTATTCTGTATTATTGTTGCAATGAATAAAATGTTTCTTTTATTTATGATATTTTTTCTTCAATTTATTTGTGTCCTCCTTTTCATTGTAAAAAAGTTGGTCACCTTACTACTTAGTCACTTGGAAGCACTTCTTATACCTTTACAACAGTTTATAAGTGAATGTTAAATTGCTAATGCAAGTGGTGATCATCACACAATCATTAAGAGCTGAGAGATGATCTGGAAGTTCCCAGTTCTGACATCAGATGAGGCTTAGGTTTTACAAAGGAATCTAGGACAATTGAACATGACTGCCTATCATGCTCAATTCACCCTGGGCCTCCCATCACAGCTGACCCACCGCAGGCATTCATACTTGGCTGGCCCTCTGCCAGCACTCCTCTCCTGCAATTGGTCTGCTGGTGCTCTTCCCCTGCCTCCTTGTCCCTGTTGATTTGCAGAGGGATACTTGTTCCTGGCCAATTGGCTACTTGGGACATTTGCATCCCAGCAGCCAAACCGTGCACCGTGAGGTGAGCAGCCTTGGGAACTAGGGAAGTGGAAAATGTGGCAGTTGCTTTGCTGATGATTGTTTTGGGATGTGTGCAAGGACAGGAGGAAAAAACTAGCCAACAGGCGGTAGTGGAAGATGAGGCCTTCCCCTTTCCATGCACCTCATGCTCAGGATCCAACATTGGCAGGGAAGGGGGAGCAGGATCCAACCTAAGCAATTTTCCAAGCTACTTGAGTTGTTTTTCTCTGTAAGATTTTCATCCATGGAATCCTTCTCAAACCCTACGTTTGTTGAAATCAGCTCTGTTAAGGTCTAAGATACTACCGGTAGTTTGACTTTGTTCTATTGCTTTATCTTGAGTTCCAATGTGACAAGGACACTCTTCTCTGAAGTTTCCGCTATTTCAATTCCTTCTAATATTTCATCTCTGTTGGTAAAAATTACTGGTAAGTTCATTATAATTGACCCTCTAGTTTCCTTCTCCACCTTTTGGGACTCAGAGTTGTCTACTAGGTTTGTCAGGAACCTGTTTGATCGTTCACTAGATTCAGAGTTTTTCTCCTGGTTGATGTTAAGATAGTTAAAGTCCCTCATTACTATTATAGTGTGCTTCTTGCATATGTTAGCTGACTCATTAGCAAAAAGTTAATCTGCTTCCTCTGCTTTATTGGGTGACCTATAGCATACATCTAAATGTCATTTATATCTAAATGTTTTGGCCATAGCTTTTGGAGTATCTAATGTACACTGCTGATTATGTTAATAACAATAATAACAGACCCTGGATACAAGTAACATATATAATTGAGGAAAATAAATAACAAATTATTAATAACCATACTGATTTCCTATGCCCATTTCCATTGCTTCCTCTTGTAAATCATGATTTAAGAAAATAGCCTGTTTAGGAAACACAAAGGAAAATACCTGTCAAGAATGTTTCTATAATTTTAATAATCAGTGTATAGTTTCACTGGTGCTGAAAGATTTTTCTAAAACTGAAATACAATAGCAGCTTTGAGTGATGTGAAAAACTCATAACCATATCATACATGAAATGCAATGACTGTTTTACTAGAAACAAGTGCACTAGACTAAGGAAAATGTCTAAAGTTATCTTTAGACTTTGTAAATACTGTTTTTTAAAAATAAGTTAAAATACACCTTGAGTTGTTAGGAAATTAAAATTTTTGAAATGCAGAGGGTACCTGAGATTCTTCCTCCTGGTACACTGGATACAAATATTATGCTACATTCAAAAACAAAAATAATGTAAATTTACAAAAAGAGTAATAAAACAAAGAGCAGAAATATGATACAAGTACAGAAAGAAGAAAAAAGGGAGGTTTCAAATTTACTAACAAGAATTTAGAAAACAAGAAAAAAAATTCCTAAGTGTTGAAAGAACTCTTATAACATGTTGTAGTTTCCTACTTCTAATAAAAGGCAAGAAGAGCATGAATTAGATCAGGATGGCAGTCTTTTGTTGCCACTTGATTAAAAGTTTTTACATCCTTGTTAGTGTTGATTCTCCAGCTGAGCCTTTTTACCTGAATCTCTACTGTGCAAACATGCAAATGTCTAGTATGTGCAGAAAATATACCGTGCTTTTCTTCCATTCCAAATTGCTTTTAATTCAAACAGTATCTCTTACTGTATATCAGTAAGGCCATCAGTGCTCACATAGAAAAATAGTTGTGTTTCTCAAAACTGTGCTATGCAAAACTGCAAAATGAATAACAGAACATATAGGAAAAAAATGTTTCCATAAGTTTAGGAGTGGTCGCTCAAGAATGGAAACATATTTGTAATCAAAATGATACTGAGTAAACAGCAAACAGTCTTAATAAGGTACATAGACAGTAGAAAAACTGGTTAAATTCATAATTTAAAAATGCAAATGTAAAATCTTACCTTGAAAATAAATGATGACAGCTAGAAAAGTAGGATCTGAGGTTGAAACAACGGTATTACTAATCAATAAAAAAATTCTTTTTTTGCATGAAATCTTTATCACTAGGACACGTTTTTGGCACTTCTTTCACTTTTGGGGGGGGGGGTGAAAAAACATATTTAAGCAGTAATAAAACAAACAAGAAATAAAAAGAAGTGCAATAGACACTACCAAAGTAGTATATATGTAGCATTTAAGTAAAATAGATAGTAAACAAAGCAGAAAGATGTTACAGTTAACTATGTACTGCTTACCATATTCTCCTGTACTTCTCATTAACACATAAATAAAACTCTGGAAACTCATGCATAAGCAAGCATGTTTTATACTATTCAGATATTGTTCCCCTATTTATCAGTCACATATGAGCAAATTAGTATCATATAAACAAATGATGTGGGAGAATTGATTGTACTATGATTAATTTAATAATACCCTCTATTTGAATGAGTGTAATATATATTATTACAATAAATATCATGCTAACAAGTAAACTCAAGAACAAAGTCTTAATTGAGATGTATAGTAGATTTAAAGAAATCTCAAATTCCTGAAACTGACTGATTGAGTATGTTCCAGAAATGCCTGAACTGAAGCAGGCTCCTCTAAGAAAAATTAATTCAAATTTAAACCCTCCCCAAAACTCAATAACGATTCAGAGATCTGGAGAAAATGGACTGCATGTCAATAAAAAAGCTTTATGCATTTCTTCTCAAGGTCTCCATATAAACAAAAAGCCTGAAAATTCCATCCAGTTTTGCCAAAAAAATAAAAACATGACTGGAATTTAAAAAACAATCTGCTTTTAATGTCACCTAGAATAAACACAGAGATAATACAACATTTTGTCTGAAATTTGGCAAGTTCAATATCATGTGGGAGCCTATTATTCCCGCAATCATGGTCATTTGTTGATCTCTGGCCATAATCAATACAAATAATGGAGATTAACATTTCAAAATAGAAATCAACATTGAAGTCAAATCAGGAGCCTCTGAATTATTCTGAGATAAACTGAGCTTTTTCTGAACTGCCATATTAAAGTTGAACCTAAAGACATTGGAAATTCTTATTTATATATAACAATGGAGGAGGGTCATATATTTAATGTGAAAATACACATGTGAAAAATATATTTACCTCTGAAGTTCTGGAGGCTTTGAAGATCTTTTTTTTTTACTCAGTAGATGCACCTTACTGTATTTAATATCTTCCTAAAATACATTATAACCTTGGAAGCATAAGAGGCAATTAGGTTTGATGGTACTTTTCAAATTCTGTGAGTATTAAACTGATTGGAATTCTCAAGTAAGGCTAAGTTCTAGAACAAATATCTTCCTCATTTTTAACTTCAGTAAGTGCTTAGTTTTTGCTCAAAATGTCTATTGGAAGTTAATTACCCAGAAGGTGTCTAGCAAATATTATCTATTGAGTATGAAGTGATATAGCCAACATAATGTACAGATGACCTAATTTGGTTTTGGCTACTATATTAATGAACAGGTTATAATAAAATGTGGCCATTCATTAATATCTGGCTTTCCAGATATTGTTAACAGTTACATAATTGATTTGGTGCTGCTGCTACAACTGAAGGTTTGAAATTTAGCTCATTTTGTTTTACATAAACTGTGTGACAGGCATCTGAAAATGCTGGTGAGTTCAAACAATGGTAACTGCCATGGCTTATTTTTGTGTCTTAAAGAAAGGAGCAGAGCTAGAGGAAAAGGAGTATAACTATTTCTGAACTTCAAGATAATGTTTGCACTCTGTATTAGGAATAGGCAGAAATCTTTCATTGCTTCACTTCCTTCAGGCCCTTTGATCAACTTGGTTTTTTTCCACAATGAGCTAAACTGTGATTTGTTTAACAAATGCATGTTTATGGAGTAGTGAACATACAATCATTCATGCTTTAATCCCGTTGAGACAAGCAGAAAACTCAGTGAAATAAGCAAAAAAGTATTATTTTATTTCCAGGAATTCTAAACAATAACTCACAGTTATGTAAAGATACATCCAGAAGCATATTTCAGCAATATAGCTCATTCCACAGGAAATGTGAACTTCCATCCATCGATCCTATACGAAGACCTGTGATTTCCTCCCTGCCGTGTGCATTGGTACTGTGCACGTATTTATGGCGAAATGCTTTAGTTCACTCGGGAGGTCGAAGAAGTCGAAAAAGGCAGGCTTAGCTATTGTGACCTTGCTGTGTGTATCTAGTATGATGTACATTTTTACAGCCCTTTCAGGTTGCCCGTCAGGGTAGACATTTGCAAGACAGACAGGTGAGCATGAAGGAGGGTGTGGTGAGTCACCACATATATCTGTGTAGTACATATCTGGGTGTTCTTTGGAGTCACTGTGAGTCTCCATCATCGTAGGAGGGGTCGAAGTCATTTGTCGTGTCTCCTCAGCGGGTTTCTTAGATTCTAAATGCAAGGCTGCTGAGTACTTGTCACTGTTACACAGGTGGCATTTTACCCTGATTGCACAATCTTTGGCCATGTGATCCATGGAGTCACAGCACTTGAAGCATATCCTATACTCTTTAGGTAGGGCCTTTCGATCATCCACGAATTTTTTCCCAAATTCTCTGCAATTGTTTAGAGAGTGTGAAGAATTATGAATTGGACAAGTCAGGCCTTTTCTTGGTGGGTGAGGATTGGAATGAATACTCCTCGGTAGTTGTTCATCTAAAGTCTTCTTTGGCCGAGTCATGATCTCTGTTTTGTACACTGAAATAGGGGTATTACCCCATGCATTTTGGATGGGATCCTTGGTTGCACCAGAAATTTGATTGCTCTGCCTGGTCGGTGGGAAGTGTGATTCTCTGATGGAGAGGTATCGAGGATCGTTGTACAGCTGTGCCTGGTCATTGACAAATTTCACAAGAACAGCAAATGGGGGAGTTTCAATTTGATGCTTTTTTTCATAGGCTACAGAGATCTTGATCCATTTTTCACCTAACTGCCATGGTAGTTTATATGTAAAATTTTATCGTGTGCTGCAATGGATAGGCTCACAATGGAAAGGAAGGATAAGACAGAATCAGACTATTTCAAGATCTGGGACAAATTTTATTACTGGTGTGAATCAAGGAGAACTGCTCGAGTTTTAAATTAGCATTAAGATAGAATTATATGTAACTGTATATATAACTGTATTGTATAGAAGAATATGTTTATATAGAGTTCAAGAATTATGTATTAATTATATGTATCAAGAGGAACAAATTGTTAGGAATATTTATTCTGGAATGTCACGTTATGTCCATCATTGTTTTTAACTGTATTATAAATAAAAAACTTTTTAAAAAAAGGATTGGAAAAGGTCAGTTCACATTCCAATTCCAAAGAAAGGCAATGCCAAAGAATGTTCAAACTATCGCACCATTGCACTCATTTCACATGCTAGTAAAGTTATGCTTAAAATCCTACAAGCTAGCCTCTAGCAGTATATGGATCAAGAACTTCCAGAAGTACAGGCAGGATTTCGAAAAAGCAGAGGAACTCAAGATCAAATTGCCAACATACTCTGAATCATGGAGAAAGCTAGGGAGTTTCAGAAAAACATCTACTTCTGCTTCATTGACTATGCTAAAGCCTTTGATTGTGTGGATCACAACAAACTGTGGCAAGTTCTTAGAGAGAAGGGAGTACCAGACCATCTCATTTGTCTCTTGAGAAACCTATATGTGGGTCAAGAAGCAACAGTGAGAACTGGACACGGAACCACTGATTGGTTCAAAATTGGGAAAGGAGTCCGGCAAGACTGTATTCTGTCGCCCTACCTATTTAACTTATATGTAGAGCACATCATGAGAAAGGCAGGGTTAGATGAATCAAAAGTTGGAATTAAGTTTGCTGGGAGAAATATCAACAACCTAAGATATGCAGATGATACCACTCTAATGGCAGAAAGTGAAGAGGAACTAAAGAGCCTCTTGATGCGGGTGAAGAAGGAGAGTGCAAAATCTGGCTTGAAACTCAACATTAAGAAAACCAAGATCATGGCATCCGGCCCTCTCAGTTCCTGGCAAATAGATGGGGTAGTGACAGATTTTATTTTCCTGGGCTCCAAGATCATCACAGATGGGGATTGCAGCCAAGAAATTAAAAGACGCTTGCTCCTGGGGAGGAAAGCTATAGCAAATCTAGACAGCATACTAAAAAGCAGAGACATCACCCTGCCAGCAAAAGAACATATAGTCAAGGCCATGGTTTTCCCAGTTGCAATGTATGGTTGTGAAAGTTGGACTATAAGAAAAGCTGAGTGCCAAAGAATTGAGGCCTTTGAACTATTAGAAATATTAGAAAAGATATAGAAATTAAAGGGTTGGAGATAGAAGATCAAAAATATAAATTACAAGCCTTTGCGGATGACTTGGTTTTTATCTTGGAGGAGCCACTTGAAACAACTACCAAATTGTTGGAGAAAATAGAAAAGTTTGGAGAAATGGCAGGCTTGAAAATAAATAGAGAAAAGACTAAAGTACAAAGAACTTAACAGATAAACAGAAAAGTCAACTTACAAAAAGACAAATTTGCAAATAGTTAAAAAAGTTAAGTACCTAGGAATCTACCTACTGTATTTTCTGGCATATAAGACAACTTTGTAACCATGCAAATCTTCTCCGAAGTTGGGGGTCGTCTTATACGCCGAGTCATCTTATACGCCGGAAAATATGGTAACAGCAAGACATGTAACATTAAAAGAAGGCAACTATGAAAGATTGTCAAAACAAATAAAATTGGACTTGGAAAAGTGGAAAAATCTTCAACTCTCATTGTTAGGAAGAATAGCTACAGTGAAAATGAATATATTACCAAAAATATTCTTCTTATTTCAAAGGATTCCTGTAAAATTGGGAAAGATCTTTTTTGATAACCTAAATGCAACAATACTGAGATTTATTTGGCAAGGGAAAAAAGCACAAATTAAAGTGAAAATGCTACAAGAAACTAAAGATAGTGGAGGATTTGGACTTCTGAACTGGAGACTATATTATCAAGCAGAAAGGGATTAAAGAAGAGATAATGCTGAGAAACAAAAGACTATTGTACCTAGAGGAGCATGACCTACAAATTGGCTGGCATGCCTTCCTATGGTACAGGAAGAATAAAACACAGATATTTTCAAAACCGTTTTATAAAGGATGCACTTCTTTTAGAATGGGAAAAAATAAAGGAGAAAATTTATATTAAGCTACCTGAATGGCTTTCAACAATGGAAGCTTTTGCTTACTCAAATTTAATTAACTATGACAAAATCGTGACTTATAAAGATATCTTGGATAATGAAGGAAAATTGAAAGATAGACAAGATTTACAATGACAAGGTATTCATTTAGCATGGTGGCCATATTTGCAAATCCAAACAAGGTATGAAAAAGATATAAATACAACAGGATTTTATAAAGAACAGACAGAATATTATTAAAAATAGATGAAAACTTGATTAAGAAACTCTATAGATTTCTGCTAAATTTAAAGATGGAAGAAGAACAAACAATGATAGCACGGGCAAAAAACTTTGGATATTCTATAGATTTGGAAGACTGGCAAAAATTATGGGATAGAAATATCAAACTGACTAAAGCCGTCTCATATAAAGAAAATCTGTATAAAATGTTTTATAGATGGCATATGACGCCAGTAAGATTAGTGAAAATATTTAAAAATACTTCAAATAATTGCTGGAAATGTAAACAAAGGCCAGGTACTTACTATCATATCTGGTGGACATGCCCTAAAGCAAAAACATTTTGGGTTAAGATACATACATGTTTGGAAAAGATGATTTAAAAACATATAGAATTTAAACCTGAACTGTTTTTGTTAGGAATATTAGGACCTAATTATGAGAAGGAGAATGAATATTTAATATTGCAGCAAGAATAGTATTTGCCCAATACTGGAAAAATTAAAACTTACCAACTGAAGAGGTTTTAATTAAGAAAATCTTAGAATGTGCAGAAATGGGTAGATTGACTTTAGAGATTAAAGAGAAAGAAGATTCAGTTTACTTTAGAACATGGGATAATTTTTATCAATGGTTAGGAAAACGAACTAGTGAGAAATGAATGTGATATGTTATTCTGAATATATATTAGTAAGAAGAATGATATGCATTGACTAACTGATATTGTTTATGATTATCATTTACTACAATTACTACAGTTATTTATCACTATATCAACTATTGTTAACTGAACATATGTACCTGGACAATAGTCTGTTTGCTAAAGATTGAAAATGTTATTGGG